TTCCTCAAGGAATGTTCGCGTTTTATCCCAGGAAGTTCCTGAACTAGAATTAGAAAACAGCAGTCTGTTTACTGGTTGTTATTTAACTTAAGTTAGTTGTAAATGATAATGTAAAAATAGCCACTGAGAACTGATGAGTTGCCCAAGACTTTTGCTCGTAAAGAGGGAATTGATTACAAACTTGGACTGCCTTTGAGCAGCCTGAGGGCAGCAATATCCCAGGAACGTCAACTAAATTTCGGAGACTTGAAGCAAAGTGAAATTCACACCAGTTACTCCATCTATCATCATTCTATTATGCAGGAAGAACCGCACGTCTATGGGTCATCCAATAATGTTAGCAGACTTCTAGATGTTACCACTGCTAGGCTTAGGCTCGGCTACAATAATAATAATAATAATAATAATAATAATAATAATAATAATAATATTTATTTAGGTAAAGGTACATACATAAAGAGATTTCACAAAGTTTGTTGGCTTTATAGATAGAGCTAGTACATACAATGCCTAAAGCCACTATTACGCAAAGCGTTTCGGGCAGGAAAAAACACTAATGGAATAAAAATAAAATGGAATAGTGAATAAAAATAAAATGGAATAGTGAATAAAAACACTAAAAACGCTTAAAACTAATGGGTAAAAAGAACAAAATGTGTTGAGTACAAATAAAAATAGAGGTAAAAGAGGGGGGGAACAAGTACCTCTGGGAGTTTGTAACATCTGCTGATGTAGATTTGACTAAATGTAAACTCTGTCAGCAGAACTATTCGCTTACTTTGCGTCATTATATAATGGAATGTGAAAAAATCGCGGAATTTAGAGATAACACCATCAATAGTGTCCAAGAAATGTGTAAGTACTTCGTTCATAATGATGTGCTGCTCGAAATCTTAGCGAAGTATCCAAAATTTGCTTACTGTAGGTAATGCTGCACATGACTGTAAAGCTGCCGCTCAGTTGGATGGGTGTGGGTGGGTGTGGAGCACATGACTGTAAAGCTGCCGCCCAGTTGGGTGGGTGTGGAGCACATGACAGTAAAGCTGCCGCCCAGTTGGGTGGGTGTGGAGCACATGACTGTAAAGCTGCCGCCCAGTTGGGTGGGTGTGCAGCAAGACTAGTAACTGTGTGACTCACCATAGATGTAAAGTGCCTTGTATAGTGACTGTTGTGAGCCTCTTGTTGATCACTTGTGACACAAAGATTATTGATGTGTGTATTTGTGTAGGTGATTAGATATGTATGTGTATGTATATATGTATATATATGTGTACATGTATGTATGAGAGTGTGTACATGTATATATAATATTAATAATTTTGTAACTAGCGTCACAAATTGTTATTTGCTTAGCTAAACGTACTAGAGGGTTCAGTTCCTGAACCGATTATGTGCCTCTGTAATCCTTTACACCACCGCCCACGGGATAGGTATGGGGTGCATAATAAAGAAAGAAATAGAATTGAATTGGTCTGATTAAGACTTTATGACCATGTAATCTATGTTTTGCTCCACTACTTACTGGTTGAGTATGGGGTGCATAACAAATAATAGCCTCCTTCGGGGGCGCCTTGTTTCTAAACGTGTTAGTCTTAAATCCTTTAATCTCAAATCTTGCTACAATGTACCTCTTAATATATGTTATGTACTCTTGCAACCCAATGTACCTTCTTGTATATGAATAAATAGATTTCAACTGTAAGGGGGTATGGTTTGCACCTTGTTATTCTAATAATGGATAAATAATTCTAATAATGGAAGCGCTAATTATATGAACAAGTGCCATGTATTTATTCAGACGAGAACAACAGCGAACACAAACCAGCGCATATACGAACGGAATGGTTTGTATGTACAAACTTCTCAGTGAACGAAGTTGTTTCTAGCCCGGTATCCGAAATTGCAGTATACGACTTGACCAGTCCCCTTAGGTACTTTTTGGTTTTGCTTTTAAATAAGGCAAAAGTTTGACAGCTTTTCAATTCACTAGGGAGTGAGTTCCATAGACTGGGTCCCTTTATTTGCATAGAGTGTTTACACAGTTTAAGTTTGACTCTGGGGATATCAAAGAGATATTTATTTCTGGTGTGGTGATAATGGGTCCTATTACATCTGTCCAAGGAGAGTTTCAGAGCAGGGTTTGCATTTAAGAACAGGGTTTTGTAAATGTAGTTGACACAAGAGAATTTGTGGAGTGAGATTATGTTTAGCATGTTTAGGGAGTTAAACAAGGGGGGCTGAGTGTTGTCTGAAAGCAGAATTTGTTATTATTCTGATAGCAGATTTTTACTGGGTGATGATGGACTTGAGGTGGTTTGCAGTGGTTGAACCCCATGCACAGATACCATAATTAAGATAGGGATAGAGTAGTGCATAATATAGAGAGATGAGAGCAGAGTTGGGTACATAATATCTGATTTTGGAGAGTATACCAACTGTTTTAGAGACTTTCTTAGTTATGTGTTGTATGTGGGTGCTGAAGTTGAGTCTCTTGTCTAGGAATAGGCCAAGAAACTTTCCATCATTTTTATTACTAATGTTTACATTGTCTATCTGAAGCAGAATTGCATTTGTAGATTTGCTTCCAAATAAGATGTAGTAGGTCTTTCTATGTTAAGTGTTAGTTTGTTGATTGACATCCGTAAGTGGACATTTTTTAGTTCATTATTAACAACATTATTTAGTGTATGTGGATTGGGGTTAGAGTAGATGAGGGTAGTATCATCAGCAAACAATATAGGTTTCAGAATATTAGAGACATTAGGCAGATCATTGATGTATATAAGAAATAGGAGAAGTCCCAAGATGCTGCCCTGTGGCACTCCAACGGTTATTGGTAGAGTGGGAGAGGTTATATCATTGATGGCTACACATTGGTGTCTATGACTAAGATAGGATTGGATATAGTCCAGTGCATGGCCTCGGATTCCATAATGATGGAGTTTATGTAAGAGGTATTTGTGATTAACAGTATCAAAGGCCTTTCTCAGGTCATCTTTGACCTTTATGTGGGTTTCTATATTCGTAGTATCAGTCTCCGTGGCGTAGTGGTTAAGACACTCACCTGACATTTCGCGAGCGCTTTGTCCTGGGTTTGTATCATGGCCGGGGAGGATTTAATGGGCGCAAATCCTAACTGTAGCCTCTGATTAACTCAACAGTAAAATGGGCACTGGGTTGTAAAAAAAGATTCTTCGCGGGGGCCCTATTCTAGGGAACATAGGATTAAGGATTTGCCCGAAACGCTACGCGTACTAGTGGTTGTACAAGATTGTAAGAACTCTTGTATATATAAATACAAAAATAGTACTAGGTGGTGGTCGCACGAGGAAGGTGGTCGCACGAAGGAGTTAGCTTCCTCCCCCCTCACATGAATTGTATCAATCATACCCTCTTTTGTTGTTAGCACAAGAACTATAGTATGTTGTTACCACGTGTGGGCTCTACCACATGCTCTATGAGAAAGGCATCCTGCACAAAGTCGAGAAATGTTTATCTTCTGCTTGTGATGTTATGTTGATCCAATCTGTGGTCTCGTGGTTAAAATCCCCCATTATTGGGGTTTGGGTTTCAGATGCTGCATTAATCACATTATACAGATCAGCAATTTCCTCTTTTGATGCTGTGTCAGCCCAGGTAGCATACTCCCACAGTCATTTTGCTGCCATCTTGCTTCCACTAAAGCCCCAAGTGGTTTAGGGCATATTCCAGTTCAACACAGTGCAACAAAAAACATCCCAGAACTGAACTATAATACCAGAAATGGTTTAGGGCCACAGGACTTACAACAATGCAAACCATACACTTTGTCAATGTAATTTGACAAAATGCAACAGCTTCTAGCTCAACCATCCTCAGAGCAGGACCGACAACAGGAGATGCTTGTCACCTATACAGTAATAAATCAATCTAATGAACTGCATGCCCGTCGAAGTTATAAATGCCAAGATATTACAGTGGATAAGTTTCCATCAAGGTCACCACAGTTAGTGGCATCAGGTAAATTGATCTGGTACATAGATCTTGTCAGCAATCAAATACTGAGGAGTCCATGCAGAAAAAATGAGTAAGACACCCTTCCATCAGCCTGCCTTGGTTGAGATGACATTTGCTAACTACTCAACCCAGCACTTACACAACACATTATATAGTATATCGCTCATAATAATTTGCATTCATTAAATGCCATGTTTGAAATGCTAAAAGTGGTAGGCACAGGGAGCCAGTGATTTATACTGTATTGGATTGTGCACAGTATTTAAAGTTAAATGAATAAACACCTATAGACCAAGCTTCTAAGTGTGCATGTGAATTTTAGATTTATGCAGGTTGAAAATGTATTAACACAGATTAGTGGGGATTATGTGAACTACAGTAATACTTGGGTCTACCATGTTCTCTGTAGTAAAGCGAGCACCCAAACATAACACTGTCTTGTGTTTTATGACCGTTTTGTGAGTAACATGCAATTTAAACTTCACTGGGTTCCTGGAAAGCAGAAGCATAAAAAATTTAAAAATAATTGTGTTTCAGTTAGTGTGAGAGAGGGCAGAAAGAGTTGATTTTGGAAGGTCTCTTGAACCTAACCTAATTTTTCCTAGATACCTTTGCTCAATTTGTGGTTTCTGATTTGCACAGTTTTAGCAGGAGCTTCATACCTGCATATTTACCTGATTTACCTGAGGGCCCATAACCCCTAGTGGCCTCGACGAGGACAGGAAGTCGGCGGCTTGCCACATGAGCTTGTCCCCCCATTTACCTTGATGATTTTTTCCAGGTAGATTTTAAAACTCAACACAGTTTTGGCAGTTACGGCTTTGGCGGGTAGGCGGTTCCATAGGTTTATAACCTTGTGGGAGAAAAATATCTCCTGTTCTCAGTCCTACATTGTGGCTTGTTGTATATATACCGAAGCATTGTTCTATCCAGTCTTTCCAATTGGATGTGGCTTCATGTAATTTTTTCTGAAACATAGCAATTTTTGGAAATAAAAGATTTTGTTACTGTAGTATTTATTGTATGTCACAATGGTCATTGGGTTTACACTAGTTCATCTAATGTTTACAAAATCCTACACCTGGACATTCACACTCATTTTCTCTAACAGGGTACAAAGAAAACCAAGGATAAGGAAAATGGGAAGCAAACTCACTATGTGCACAATACAGTACTGTACATGAACCAGTGCTGAATATTTGTAATTAGTTTTGTGCATCAGTTAATAGGTTTAGGTCAAATATCACTTTAGTAACATCACAATACATCAGTATTGATGTATTGTGATGTATGATGGTATAGATGCATCATAGTTTAATTATGGTATTACATTGGTGTCGGTGAATTTTGTGAGATACTATGCATGGCATTGTAGCATCATAGAGCGAGTTACCCCCCTGTCAATCTATCTAACCCAAATGAAAACAATGGCTAATCATAATATCACAATTTTTTTTTTTTTTTTTTTTGCAAATGACAGTGAATAAATCCTTTATCCAAAACACCTATGAAAAGAATAACAGATATGAAAAACTCAACAAATCATGTACAGTACCATGCTGCTGTGAGCGGCAGGTACAACATTCACCCATCAGCTGCTCAAAATCTTTTGATATGACAAAGAAGATAAATAAATGTAAAACATTTACGTCATCTCATCATAAAACCAAGTTAATGGGCATGAAGGATTTTTTTTCTGTTTTATATTACACTAAGAACATAAATAGCACAATATAAAATTTTACAGAAGTCTCTCATTTACTCTGTTTTGGGTTGAAACAATTGCATGTTTTCACTTGATGTTTATTTTTATAACTAATTTACACACAAACTCAGGTATTGATAAAGAATATAGTATATATATTTATATATTTTAACAATATGTTAGGAGTAAACTTTATATTATACAGCATCTTTGACTGCCCTCTCCTCCTCCTTCGTGTGTGGCATTACACACGATGCTACCTGGAGTTTCCCTTATTATCATTCTAATACTATTGATTGATGTTATTTCGTAATATTTGAATATTGACTGGAAGATTTGAAACCTGTTTTGTGTGGCTTGCAATTTGTATACATTTAGGTTGGTTAATAGTCTTTCTCTTACGTGCGGTGTGGAAGATACCGTGCCCCAGCCTGGGTCTATGAAACACATCACATGTGGCAACAAATGAAACGTTACATTTAGTCGTGAACATAATAAACATCAAATAAAAGCATTTTTTTTTTACAACTGTAATTTAATTACAAACTTGGGTATTGATAAAGAATAAGGTACCATATAATTTTTTTTTTATATTTTGGTAATGAACATAAGAAAGGTCAAATAAAAGCATACTAATTATATAAAAATGGTGACTGTTTCCTACTGTGTACCCCATATATCTCAGTCTTGTGCATGACATACGTTACAGTGTCATACCAATTAGTATTTTTTACAAAATATACAATTACAACTTAGCATCAGTATAAGTTGCAGTTCAACCAGTGTCATCTAGTTTGTTAAAATTTAAACATTAAATAAGGATAGAGATACAAAAGTGATTTGGGAAAAGTGCATAGTGAGAATTTTATCAGGCTATTCAGTATAATAAAAGAAAATTACACAAGTATTTTTATAGAAATATAAAAAACGAACAGGTCATGCAAATCAGATTCAAAGTTATGACATGTGAATACAGTGTCCCCCAACTTACGCCTGGAATGCTTTACTGATTTTGTCATAAGTTGATTGCTTGGAAGTCTGAACACAAATTTCCATAGGTGCAATGCTATAACTGCTATAACATTTCCATAGGTGCAATGCTATAACTGCTATAACATTTCCATAGGTGCAATGCTATAACTGGAGGATGAGTTCCAAATATTAAAAAAATATATATATACTGTAGTTGAATAAACACTGGTTTTATTTATTATGAAATAATAACACTATGTTTTGGTTATTGTTACTGAATTTGTTAATGCCCCAAAAAATTTTAGTCTTGTCTTTGACTCTGGTGTTGGTTGTTGGATAGTTTTTGCTGCACACACGTGCACACTCCATAAGACATTCATATTATGTCCACTTTAATTTTCTGTGTTAAGTTTTTTATTTTTTTTTTTACCATGATGTACCCGACCAGTACTTTTTATTTAAAAAATAATAATAATAATCCTGGATCCCACACTGCTCTTGAGTTTGAGCACAAAACAGCAGATGAGAAAGTATTAGAAACCCTCATAAGTAAGAGTTGTAAGTAGGAATGTCGTAAGTTGGGGACTTCTGTATAGCAAACTTTCAAATCAGTAGCATTAACCCTCCAAGCCTCATACTGCTCATTATCACAAGATATAATCTTATTAATTATATACTACAAACTGTCACCATAATAATATACGTACCAACACTTTTAAACATTAAGTTGCGAGAATGGATGAAACAAGATGATAACCAAACTACCTAAGGCATGACTATTGCAATTAATGCGAGAAATTAAGGAACTGGATTTCAAATTATGTTAAAGGTACATTTATGTTATTTCAAAGTACGAGTGAGCTGGTTTAAGACGTAAGAGATGGAGCACATTATACTTTCTATAAGAGTTATCTTAAGTTGTATTGCTGGAATCTGTGAGGTTATTATGTGAAGTTCAATCATCTTGGCACTTTTTCACTCACATTGGCAAATTGCTTTTGTTAATATTTTTAATTATTATCATCATCTATTAGTACATTTACATTAGAAATTAATTGTGAAAAATTCAGTTATTTGATGTTTTGCAGATTTGAACACAATACTTAATAAAACGTACTGGTTTTAATTTTATACTGTATATAGACTTACAAACAAATATTTTCCATGTTTCTGCTTTTATAAAACAGTGTATGCTTAGTTTTGAATGCATGCTCATTTACAGCCACATAAATTACAAAAAACGTGTTTGACCTCTTACAAGATGCCTGTGTGGAAAATATTACTTAGATTAGTGACTTGTATTCTCTGTTAGCAAACACTTTTCCCACGATAATGCTGAATATCGTCAATACACAACTAGTTGAGGGATGACATCTTGATGCTTCATATTACTTTTTGAGACTTTTATTATATAACAGACCAGTACAGGTAGAACAATAAAAAAAAGTTTTTAAAAAATTTTCCCATTAATTATATAATTCTATAATTACCTATATACAATTATATAATTATATATAAATATTAGCATCTGAAGGGGCAGTGAAAGAAGCCACCAAGACTAATCTCAGTTTTATTTAATGATGATAGTTCTATAGAAGAAATAGTGAAAAAATATAATAGGCTCTTATATTTCTTCTCTTACCCAACATAAAGCCAGAGATTAATTATATTTTACACATAATGAAACTTTATAAACAAATCTCTCTGACTCACAATGGACAAGAGTAGGAAATTTCCGACAGTGAGGAAGTGACGTTCTCTAGGACACGCACCCACAGGCGGATCTGGACAAGGAATGAGAAATTTTATCCACATGCACCTAGAAACAACAGCTTTGAACAACACCTGCAATGTGAGTAAAAATAGGTATTGCTTACCTGATGGAAAGCAACTTTAATAAGTTTTGCATACATCTTGGCTGACAACGGCATCTATATTACTACCGACTCTTCCTTATATTAACAAATACAGTTTGTTTCAAAACTATAAAAGGTGTTTGGTGACATATAGACTTCTTCAAAAAACATTTTGACAACATCTATGCTTCACATTATCAACAAATTTAGATTTTTGCCAAAAAATAAATCCTTATTCTTTGCAGAAAACCCTTGCCAAGCTTTCATAAAATATATAAATATATAATATATAGGGGGGGGGGGGGGTAGGAGAAGACAATAAGTGAGTGTATGCGGGGTGTCCCACAAGGCTCCTCCGGATGATACATATCCTCTTCTTTGAGGCCGAGGGTCCCTACAAACACAACCAGAGATGGTACCCCCCTATATAAATATATAAATGCTATATATATATTTATATATATATAATGTATATATATAATATATTAGTTTGTAGCTGATGCTTAAAACATTATATGCTCTTCATTCAAAATCTTACAGTTGGTGATAATTTAATCAGTTTTACAGTATATTTATTTTTAATATATGATTATTCTTCCATTATTAGGAACATACAATTTCAATTATTGTTTAATTTACTTTTATTCTTATTGAATATTTTAACATTGGTTAACATTTTATATATCCTGGAGTTTTATGAGATGTCACTTATTCCGGGTTCAAATCCCGCGCGAGACAGAAATGATTGGCCACATTTCCCTTCACCTAATGCCACTGTTCACCTAGCAGTGAGTAGGTACTCAGGAATTAGTCAGCTTCTTGTGGGGTTGCATGCTGGGCGGGCCTTGTTGGGGGGGGGGATACCTCGATAACAGCCAAATGTATATGAATACACTCTGGCTTCCTTTCCCACAATACAATGAATTATTAATTATTTAATGCCATTTTATAAATGGATTTTCAGGGAGAGAGGCTCCTCAGGGTCACCCTGATAGTCACGGGAAAGGCCAGAATCTGGGAGGCATCAGAAAGATGTCTCTCATTACATTCAACATTGGATTTTATTAAGAGTACTGTGTGTACCACGTTTGGGGAAATATGATTATTGTATATTAAATTGAATAACCCATTTTCCGTTGCATGAAGATATGATTTTTAACGCAATGTTAATTGTCATATGACTGTACTGTATATATTAAGAATGTTTTCTATGTGATTTGGTTTCCAATCCAATGGGCAGTCTATTAATTTTTATTATAAGAGTATTATCTGAATATCTATGACTTTAGTGAAGGACAACTAAAAACTTGCATTGCTTAGTTATAAATTAAAATTGTTACATTTTTATTTAGTAAATTCTTGTATAGTATTATAAATTTAATCTGTCATTTATGAAAGTAAAACTATATATAATTTCACTTATATATTAATAAAGTAGCAGTACAGTACAGCTATTGTATAAAATACTAAAACCATATACAACAACAAATGTATAATCTTTGAATAAATATCTTATATATATATTCAAACCCTTGAAATTTGGCCTACTATACTGTATAACATACATTATACAATAGCCAGCCTCATTCACTAATTTTTGTATAACTATTAAAACATTCTCTATTCAGTTGCTTTATTTCAGTCCTGTATGGCTCAAGATTAAATTGTATTGTTTTTAATTTTTGCAATGTAATTTAATTTACCATCGAACAGTCAAAGTAACATATAAAACATTCTGTATGACTTGCCTATCTCCCAAGCTTCAAAGGATGTTAATATTACCATAGTTTATTTATACTTTTCATGTTTGTAAATAAAGCATAAGTCACTTACACTATCATAATCTGTATATTTTACATTCCTGTATAAGCTGGCTCGCCCCTGATCATTTAGTCTAATTGACTAAGTCTTCATGGCATGTGGGCTAACTTGCATTGGCCTACCTAGTCGATCAAGATGCACCCATCCAGTGGACCCGAGTCAACCTCGTCTCTTGAGTAATCAGAAATGCATCTATTATCGGTGCTTCCTGAATGACAGTGCATATAACTTCTCTGGCAATGTTTTGAGCAAGTGAAAACTGATCTACATATAACTGCTTTTTAAAATAATGCTAAATTTGTGTGCTAATATTAAATAATCCTCTGACATCATTTTCTTTCCATTATATGTACTGTAGCTGGTGATAGAAAATATAATGAAGGCAAGGAACTATTAAATATGCAATGAACTTTGAACTACTTAAGGGTTTTAAAAAACATAAATTTAGTCCATTGTAGAGATGCTAGGGGTAATATGCTAGGTGTGACTTAGGCCGGCTAGATTCCAGAAACAAACTTTGGCAGCACTTTAGAAAACAATGCTCCTTTATGGTGAACTTGCACCACATGATTGCCCGAATCATGAACAGTATATGAGCATTTTAGTTGATTAACTAAGATGAATGCATGGTGTAGTTCTGGAAATGGAGCCTTCTACACTGACAACTTTACCAGGGGACATTTAACAGTCTACCGACTATGATGCAGGGCACTAAAATTGGTCAGAAAAATAATCATTAATCCTGAGAAACCATAATGAATATTTTTGTCCAACAGTTAATACACTTGAACTATAAAAATGAATAAAGGATTTTTCGTTCACATATTAAAACTGAAATGGAAACACCACGAGCTGTACAGAGTAGTTAGAGGAGAGTATCTTTGCAATACTTTTGTTTCTTGGCCCCATAGAAAATATGAAAGTGAAGTTGGTATTATAAAGTGTGTGATAGGCCATTCAGAAGAGTTTTGATATACTGTATGTATACTGTATGTATATTCATAAGTGTAGCACCTTGCAAAGGGCAAAATAGTACCTGGGAATTGTCCTAGTCTATAAAGTTACTGACATTAATTAAATAAATGTATGAATATAATGTTTATACACTAGACAAAAAGACAATAATCTGTACAAAGAAGGATTTTTTCGGAACAAAGACCAGTGTCCAAGTAAAGAAGTGGTGTTGAACCGGTGAAGCAGCTCTGCGTAGGTGGTAACATCCTCACTGAGGGCAGGAAATTTGCACCAAAGGAAGCTCACTGCATTATTCAAAGGTTTCTGTGGTGCAATTTTAATTTGTATTTTAATTGGATTGTTCCACTGTTTTACTGAGATGTTTCACTGCCAAAACTTACTTTTCCCCTTAATATATGAGTGACAATTACATCATGAATAGCAAAAATTATACATATTGAAACAAAGCAAGGAGTCAAATCAATACCTGTTGTAATCACTTTTAATTCCTGTAAAGTAAAAATATATGACATTAATCACCCCAATCATCAATGGTGTGAGAAACTATCCCAATATTGTTAAATAATTGTAATTGTATTTATTTTATTCGTATTAAGCAGCCCTTGGCAAACCTGGAGAAGACACAGACAACCCCACAGTTGCCATGCCAGCTTGGCCAAAGGCGTGGACACTAAGGAAACCCAAAGCTAACGTGAGTTACAACAATCATCTTTTTTTTTCCTCTTTATTGGTATGATCATCTCCGTCTATCAGTCAGCATTCATCTAGAACGATGACTGAAGCACGAACACCAGTTTCTCCGACACCCATGACTTTCGAACGCGTAATTTGGCGACTGATATACTAAGAAACATAAATGTTACTTCATCGGATGTCAGAGATATTAGCCTTGGAGCCAAAGATCTTCAGAAGCTCATTCTCATAGTCTTCAATGTTCCGCTTCATTAGATCCATGCAAGGCCCAAGCAGACGCTCAAAGGCCTCCACATCTAGGACTGAAATGTAAAAAAATTATTTTTAATTTTCTTTTCATGCCAATATTTATTTATTTATTTATTTATTTATGCATATACAAGAATGTACATAAGGAATGTGAGGATACAAATATGGTAATTACAGTCTTGTAAAGCCACTAGCACGCGCAGCGTTTCGGGCAGGTCCTTAATCTAAGAAAATTTTAAGGAAGTAAATACTTGCAAAATTTATAGACTATAGAGATTATAGAATATAAAATGATAATTTACAGTACCTATACTACCTTTGCTAGCTTCACAGTTAATTAAGGAGAATTAGAATTGGTGAAATATACTGTAATCAGAAATGGTCAAATCAATTTGGAATCATACTATGTATATAAATTAAGAGTAATATTGGAATGTAAAAACTCTTGTATATATAAATAAAATAAAAAAATTAAAACCTGTTGCATTTATTCTTGGCCAGTCCCAGTTCTCTCTCATTTTAGGACTCCTTGTAAAGATTCAGGTCTTGTTCAGTGACTTATACAGGTTCAATGAGTTTGTCTACTTCTTTATACTGTACTTTCAAATTAATTTTGTAGGCCCTCTCTTTGAACATGTCCCCCTTAATTTCATTTCTGCACATAAACTCTTCTTATGTACCTTAAGTGAATTGTTACTTTTTCAGATAGTTTTTCTTACTTGTTTGCCCTCTTGTTAATATGAAATGTTTAGCAGGAGAGGGATTTGGAGCAAAAATATTACACTCCATTGTTCTCCCAGTCTTTGCACATATTGCCACTTATGCATGGGCCTAAATTCTAGCTTCCCACTGCATCCCTCAAGCACCCTGCAGGATGCACAAGTACTACAAGGCACAATATGTCTGCCCATGCTTCCAGCCACCTTCTGGAAACAGAAAGAAGTTTTCTTGTCAACAAGAAAACTAGAGTTCAATGCCAGCCACAGATTAAATTGTATATCCATATTGCTAGCATCCAACCTCCCCATACTTCCTATAACCCCCTTCCATTTCCTGGTACTCAAATCTATTGCATACCTTCATCTCAACCCCTTATATTTCCAAATATCATGTATCATAATAACTGTCAATCATTTTATAATTTAAAGTCTCTACATATATGTTATACCTGCTCATGTAGTTTTTATGAAGTGCCCCATTAATCTTATACTGTATATTGTTTTCCTAATACAGTATTAGGAAAACAATATGACCTCGAAGACACCAACTTTGAGGTCAACCCCGGAACTCACAGTTCCTGCGACAGCGCTGGAACCAATCGTATTGGTGTATGCCTTTCCATTGGAGACTTTCAGCGCCGTGGAGGGGGGGGGGGACCTGCTGCCTGGGTAACAGCTTCTCCCCCCAAATCAACCTACCCTGGCTTTGCGCCCTTGTGAGGCCACTCCAGACCAGGCCGATGCCAGTGCGCAAGTCTATAGTCTCCTGAGACTGATATATGCCTACTACTACTACTAATACAGTATTTTATTATTAGCTTAACATTATCAGTAGAGTATTAACATTATTAGTCTGCTTGATATAATGTACACAGCCCTTGACAAAAATTAGTTCCCAGTTGGTCTCTTTGTTGACCTCAGAAAGGCCTTTGATACTGTAAACCATAACTACCTCTTAAACTTCATAACTATGGCACATCCAAGGCCTTGTTCTGAACTATATTATATCCCGCAGTTAAACATAAATATTATGTTTAACAAGCCTTTGACAAGTTGCCGGATTTCTATCCTAGAGGCCACTAGGGTTTGTTAGTGGCTCTCAAGTAAATCAGGTAAATAAGATTATAGCTTAATGACAGACACCAATATGTGTCTATTAACGACATAACCTCCCCCAATCTACCATTAACTGTAGAACTACCATAGGGCAGCATCTTGAGACCTCTCCTATTTCTTGTATACATCAATGATTTGCCAAATGTCTTTAACATTCTTAAGGCTATACTATTTGCTGATGATACGACCTTCATTTACTCAAACCCCAACTCACACACACACACACGCTAAATAATATTGTAAGTAACGGATTAAAATAAAATTCACTCATGTATGTCAACCAACAAACCCACACTAAACATAGAAAAGGCCTACAACATTTCATTTGGAAGTAAATTATATAATCAAATTCACCTTCAAATAGACAATGTTAACATTAGTATTATAAATGATTGAAAGTTCCTGGGCTTATACACAGACAAGAGATTAAACTTCACCAACCAAATACAACATATAGACAAAAGTGTCTCAAACTGTCGGTATACTCTCTAAAATCAAATATTATGATCCCCCATTCTACTCTCTTTTCACTATACTACTCACTAATCTATCTAACATATCTACCTAACATACGGTATCTGTGCATGGGGTTCAACCACTGCAAATTACCTCAAGCCTTTCATAACCCAGCAAATATCTGCTATCAGAACTATGTATGACAAATTCTGTCGGTAGACAACACACAGCCCCTCTGCTTAAATCCCTAAACATGCTGATCATACACTCACTCCACCCATTCTCTTGTGCTATTTACATGTACAAAACCTTGTTCCTAAATGCTAATCCTGATCTGAAACTCTTCCTTGATAGATGTAACAGAACCCATGAGCACCACACCAGAAATAAATGCCTTTGATACCCCTAGAGTCAGACTAAATTTGTGCAAACACTCCATACAAATAAAAGAACCCAATCCGTGAAACTCGCTCGCTAATGATTTAAAAAGCTCTCTAGCTTTATTCAAAAATAAAACCAAAAAGTACCTAATTTCATCCTCAATTTCCTACCTTGTGCTTCAAACTTTAAATGTATCTTGTGCTACCCACTCACCCAATTTTAGTACTTAAGATATGCAACAGGACCTGCCTGAACTACTATGCATCTTAGTGGCTTTACAACAATGTAAGAACACCAATGTTATGTACTCTCACAACCCAATGTATCTTCTTGTATATAAATAAATAAATTACATATTTATGTTGTACCTGAAATGCTCTTCATGTTAGTGGCTTTAGGCACTGTACTGAGGTGACTTAGGAATCCTCCACTGTTAATGTTTTGTCTCTGTTTGTACTCTGGCTTAATAAATATTATTATTATTATTACTATTATATTCTGCACCCTTTTAACCCCCACATTCCCTGCACTCCTCCCCCTTCCCTTCTCAATTTCTGCACCAAGCCACCTTTACCATATTCTGCCCTCCCCCTCCCCCACATATTACCTGCAACCACCATTTCAACTTTTGTACAACATAAGACTATCTATAGTAGATGATAAATAATAGAAGAAAACTTACATGCCAATTTTGCCTTTCCTACAGCATACACTGAGGCCGCTCTGGCTTTCTTTGTGACGAGGGCAAGTTCTCCAAAGTAACCACCGATAGACACCCGACTGATCTGTAGAGATCAAATTATTAGACTAATACCTTGTATTAATTTTAATTAAATATAAAAGCAGCTACACTACTTTCCATACTTTACATATAAATGCTAATATGAATAGTTGACATGTTGCCATTACTGTAATAACATTTAAGAAACTTATGAAGCACAGAATACATGTATACCATTATCATAATGAAGGCTTTGAAGTAATTCAATAATGGGTAATAAGAAATGTAACAAATACAGTACAGTACTGTATTTCAGTCGTGTTTAATTTTTTAAGGACAGAGAAATGTCCTAAAAGACTTTCAAAAGATGTTAAATATGTACACAAATTTCTACATTTTCTAGGTTGTAGTTTTAACTCTGAATGGTCTACATGAAATATATTTTCATCTTGGAAATATGATTTATTTTGATTTACCTCACCATATTAGTGTCTTATAACTCTAATAGTTCATTAACATTTGTGACAGTTTTTGCAAAATTCAAGATACCTAAAGCAATGGCAACAGATTTTGTTTTTGACTTAATTTATAAAATATATTTTTCTTTCAAAAAGTAAGTCCAGGTAATTATGCCCACAATAAACCTATTTAGAGTAGATAAGGTGTTCTTATGCCCAGTAAACATGTTGGAGAGTACACAGGGTGCGAGTCTTTGAAAGAGTCCACAGTAATTGAACAATTGAACTCGCATCCTGGATAACCCAAGATAAATTATCCACGAGGCCACAATAGGTTTAGAAGCAACACAACCTGAAGTCCACGCAAATTTACAAGGAGTTCAGGAGGACTTTAGGCTCTGTTCTTTTAAGCTTTATGTGGTCTAGTGGGTAATGTGTGCATCTGAGGTGATCCAGGATGCAAGTTCAATTCATTACTGCTCCATAGATTTTCTCTCATACGTTATGCTATTGTGATTTCATTGCGCACATGTTGGAGAATACATAGGTTGTGTATATCCTTCCCAACTCTTTTCCCCTTAAACCTGTTGAGTAGACTCTTCAATGCATGTTTGACCTTCAGTGAGCCTGAGAATACACACAACATTGTTTGCCTTGACAAACCTACCTCTTTCTCTTCATTATTTTCTTTGACCATGGTAATGCGGACCGTACCATCCTCCACAAAGTACATGCCGTCGGCACTATCACCCTGCAAAATAATCTGCTGCCCGGGCACATATACTTTTGGCACCAAGGCATCCGCCAAGTTCAACCGTTCGTATTTCTGTTAAAGAGAAATAGATCTTAATTTTCTTACTAATGATATTTACATTAAAATAATCAAATATCATTGGGAAAATTTGCATATAAAACTAAGAAATAATGATTAATATTTGAAAACGTTTATATTTCTATAAATCAGCATATTTAAATTTATCATATTAATTATGGGTGCAGTATACCAGTACTGTATATACAGTATATGTAATTTACAGTATATAGTAAGTTGGTATTCTTTTTCACTGATGAAAAACTTTTACAGCAGGGTTGGATTAGGATGCACAGGTTCACAAGGACATTGCACCAGAGTTAAACAAACCAAAGAACTGTGCTTCAATAACATTGCAACATCAGTGGTTGAGAAGGACATTTTAGATGCTCTAGTTATCAAATATTCCCAGGGTTCTTTGGTGAGGTCAGGTAATTACCTCACCAAAGGTAATTTGCTGAGGTAAATACATCAGGAGAAAGTACTAAGCCCATATGACCATCTATCTATCCCATATGAGTAATTTTCCTGAGGTCATTACCTCAGGAGAAAGTGCTAAGCCCATATGACTATCCCTTGGAGGAATACAGGGATGAGGGTTCTGGGATAGGACTATGAGAAGAAACAATACCTAACCATTTGGACCATCAGGATTGATCATTTACTTATCCAACAGTATATATATAATTATCCCAGAATGGGAGCTACATGTAGAGAATAAGTCACAATAACATGGCTGAAAATGTGTAACCCGACCTCACACATATGAAAGGAAAGATTCATTTTAATGAAAAAATTCATTTTAATCTGCCCTGGACTCTTATCACAACAATTCATATACTGTATCAGTACTGTATATTTGTTTCAACTTTCTTATTTATGTTTCTGAGTGTTTATCCCAAACCAAGTTCTAATAGCAGTCTGCTGTAATTAAAAATCACAGAAATGTTACTGTTTATGAGCCACTATAATTCATTGTATGCGGTATTTTGTCCACTGGGAAGTTGGACAAAATGTATTTTGTCCACTGTTTGGACATCCAAACATGATGTATTATTTGAGAGAAGAGATCAACTCACAACAGTTGCCTAACTCCTGGGTACCTATTTCCTGCTAGAGGACTGAACTTGGGTAAATCGAATGTGCATATTTTAGCTAAAATAACACCACAACCATTTACAGATAGTGACCCTATGGAAAAAGTTTATCTGTTTAGTTCAAATTACTGTGTTCATATATAGTCCAGAAATGTGAAAATATCAACTTTAAATTAAGTGACAGTGCAATGCAAAAGGATTATTTTCTTTAGCAGCTGACAAAACCAATAATCTCATCAACTGCTCAATAGCAACACTTAGTGGACCAGCCAGAGGCTTAGGGCCTACGCAGGAATATCCCTGCAAAAAAAAAAAAAAAAAAAAAAAAAAAACTGCTCGGTTACTGGTGTTTGTAAATGATATTACACAGGCTTTTACTCATGAACTTGCTAGCCTCAGTTGACAATTATTATTAAATTATTAACTAAAGTGACAAACAAAGAGTGACTTACTAAAGTGAGCTTTTGGATCAAAGTAGCACTGTTGAACTAGATAAGGACAAAATTAGTTTGGAGAGCAATTTCTGGAACTCTTGTGGCAAATGGAGCACATAAGTGCATGGTACCACAGCTGTTTAAACACTTGCTCAGCTCAAAGATTACCTTACTGTATATGTAACAGCTTCGTTCATATATTGTTTGTTTACAGGTATGTTTTTTTGTGGAATGACCTCCCAATTGTATCTAAAAGGCATATGTCTCCCAAGCAGTTTAAAAGAGAGACTAAGAAATATGCACTTAATATCATATAACTAATGTCACTCAAATTTCCCCCATTGAAATGTTATATTTTTGTGTGCTATCTTAAATTTAAATGAATAAAAATGAATGCCTTTCTTCACTCAGTGTCATCTGATTAGTGTTTCTATTTGTGAAAAATGGCTTACTCAAGTCTCATGTGTATTATACATATATAAAACGCTGAACTGTAATGCCAATCCTGACCTCAAAAAATTCATTGAAGGTTGTAACAGAACCCATGAGCACCACACCAGAAATAAATACAGTTTTGATATTCCTAGAGTACGACTTAATCATACTAGAAATGCTCTTCAAATCAAGGGACCCAGAATGTGGAATGATCTTCCCAACCATGTTAAAGACAGTACCTCTCTCAACCAGTTTAAGATAAAAACGAAGCACTACCTAATAAATTCCCTGTAACCTACCTTACCCCTCTGTTGTCAACCCATGTATGGTTTTTTTTTTTTTTTCAAAACAACGCTGTTTGAATGTAATTTTCTGTAATAATTTGTAATTGTATTTGTGCTGCTTTTTCAACCATGTTCCCCCCTCTTTTACCTCTATTTTTATTTGTTCTCAACACATTTTATTCTTTTTACCCATTAGTTTTAAGCTTTAGTCATTAATGTTTTTCCTGCCCGAAACGCTTTGCGTAATAGTGGCTTTAGGCATTGTATGTACTAGCTCTATCTATTAACCCAACAAACTTTGTAAAATCTCTTTATGTATGTACCTTACCTAAATAAACATTTATTTATTTATTTATTTATTTATTTATTTATATGTTATCTTACTTCCTGTTTATTAATAGTTTCCATTTAAACTTTATAATTTTACTAATTTACTCTATGTTCTAGTAGCTTTACTAAAACACACCCTATTACAAAAATTGTACATCACCTGTTTAATCTCTTCATCAAACTAAAAGTTTATTTTCCAAATGTCATGTATTAATTGTCAATCATTTTCTGACTCTAATTCTCTTCATCAACTCATAGATGTTATATTGTCTCATGTAGTTTTAAGAATTACCCATTAAGCTTATGCTTTATATCGTTTCCATAATTTTTATGTTATGCCCAAATAGCTCTGTGTATTAGTGGCTTTAGGCACTGTATGTTACCTATGAATTCTCTGTTCATGTATTTTTTATGCATGTACTCTTGCATAAGTAAGCTTCTCCCCTGTATCAATCTACCCTGGCTTTGCGCCCTGGAGAGGCCACTCCAGACCAACAACCAGAGCGCAACTCCATAGTCTCCCGAGACTGATGGATGCCTGCTACTCTTGTTTAAATAAATATTATCATATAGTTGTGGATAAGTGGAATGGGTTATAAGTTAGCAAAGAACCAATCAGTTTAACAGGTTTCAAAAGTAGATATGTGCAGGAGAAGGAGGGGAGGGGGGGTATATATAAATAGGACCTGCCTAATATGGGACAACAAGCCAGCTGTAATGCTTCATATAGTTTTTTTGCTCTTACAATATGTTACAACAAATGCAACCATTATGCTGTTCCATCCTCCTGAAATGGGTCAATATTGTACTAAAATACCCTTGTCAGGATCATGAAACCTGCTTGGCTCATATTGAAGTACAGTTTATTCCTGGCCGAGATGATAATTGTGATCGTTCATCTGGTATTAACTGACCATACTCAACGGTGTTTAACCTGCAGCCAAACAAAACCTAACTTTTAGAACTTTAAATTTGAAATTTCAACATTACAAAATAATAACTCATAGAGACAGTGTCTTACCTCCAATGTTTTTAACATGGGAACATTTTCGAGCAAGGCCTCATACATCTTCCTCTTCTTACAAGCAGATTTGAGTAATATCCTGCGGAAGGTGTGTCGGTCCATAGCCCAAAGTGCACCAGAGGTAACAGCCTGGATGGTGGCTGCTCGAGGCAGGTTGTACATGAGAGCCAGCTCTCCAAAGCTACCAGAGTTATCGTATTTTCCCACGGAACGAGGTTCTGTGTCACTGTCGGTCTTGACGAAGATGTTGTATACTCCCCTGTTGGAGAGATGCCTTATTAGTTTCCCTGTTGGAGTGATGCCTTATTATAGTTTACCTGTTGGAGAAAAGCCTTTAAAAAAGTTTCACTGGCAGAGAGATGTCTTACTACAATTACCCTGGCAAATAGAGGCCTTGCTGTAAGTTACGTGCCTTACTGAACTATATTTACCCTGGTGAAGAGGGGCACCTTACTATAGTTACCCAGGCAGAGATGGCTTACTAAAAGTTACTTGGCAGAGATATTCCTCACTACAGCTACTCTGGTGGTGTTGTTTGGTGATTTAGTTACTCGGAACTAAAATTTCCATGTAGCATGGGCTATGGTGAGCCCGTAATACCCTGGCGAAGAGACGCCGGACAAAGTATCCTTACATACCCCCTGGTGGGGAGATGCTGAAGATTAACTACAGGATAGACTAAAGTCTTTACTTACGATTCTATGACATAGAAGTTGTCGCCATCATCACCCTGCTTAATGACGTTCTCTCCCTCTGTTACCCGTCGCTCGAACATGGCGTCTAGCACCTCCCCAATCTGGTCCTGGAAAATTAAAAACACAGCGTTGAAAAGGTTACCCTCTGTCATTGTGCTAGAGCATGGAAACAATTGGAAAGATTATTAATTTATTTATTTATTTATTTATATATATACAAGAAGGTACATTGGGATTGCGAGGATACATAACATAGTAATTACATTCTTGAAAAGCCCCTAGTACGCGCAGCGTTTCGGGCAGGTCCTTAATCTAAGAAAATTTTAAGTAGGTAAATACTAGCAAAATTTATAAAAATGATAACAGGTACATAGCAAGAAAAAAAATGAGAGAAATTTGTAGGTATATTAAAGCACATGTAGCTCAGAGTGATTGCAATGACAGCTTGAATGGTAGTTTAACAAAAATTAGTAGGCACAATGCAACATATGGTTAGCACATAAAAGATGACAGCAATGAACACAATGATAGAGTTGTTTGGATTAAGTACATAAAGATTGGGAAATTGGGTAACACTAGATACAGAGCAAATTTAAAGCTCAGTGTAGGAAACTATGAAGATGAAATTAGGTACTTTTTGTTTTTGTTTTTAAATGAGGCAAAAGTTTGACAGCTTTTCAATTCACTAGGGAGTGAGTTCCATAGACTAGGTCCCTTAATTTGCTAGTGTTTACACAGATTAAGTTTGACCCTGGGGATATCAAAGAGATATTTATTTCTGGTGTGGTGATAATGGGTCCTATTACATCTGTCCAGGGAGAGTTTCAGAGCATGGTTCGCATTTAAGAACAGGGTTTTGTAAATGTAGTTGACACAAGAGAATGTGTGGAGGGAGTTAATATTAATATTCCTCACTAAACAAGGATTTAAACAAGGGAGCTGAGTGTTGTCTGAAAGCAGAGTTTGTTATTATTCTGATAGCAGATTTTTGCTGGGGGATGATGGGCTTAAGGTGGTTTGCAGTGGTAGACCCCCATGCACAGATACCATAATTAAGATAGGGATAGATTAGTGCATAATATAGTGAGAGGAGAGCAGAGTTAGGAACATAATATCTAATTTTGGAGAGTATACTGTACCAACTGTTTAAGAGACTTTCTTAGTTATGTGTTGAATAAGTATAAGTATAATAAGGTTGACCTGGTATAAGGCAGGGATTTTTAAAATTGAATTTCCATTAGCTATCCCATCTACTGTCATACTACTGTACCACTAAAGAAGAGCCACATAGCTATGGATCATCCAATAAAATCAGCACGCTGCTAAATGTTACGACTACTTGGCTTATACTCTGGTATAAGTGTCTCTGGGAGTTTGTAACACCTGCTGGAACAGACCGTACCAAATATAAAACATGCTAAATTATATTCGCACACCCTGCATCACTGTCTGGTGGAATGCAAAAAAAAATAAAAAAATAATGAATTTAGAGAGATAACTTTAACAAAGTATTTGTATTTCAAAATGATTTGTATTATAACAAATAAGTATTTTTGTTGAGTCCTGGCTTTGTTGCTGTGGACTCTTCCCTTTCACAGTATATACTCAAATGCTCTAATCTTTCTAACAAACGTGACTTAACATAAGCTTTCCCCCTTCCATTTCTTTCTTTCTCTTTCCCTTTCTTTCTCTCTTGGCTTATACTCTGGTATAAGTGTCTCTGGGAGTTTGTAACACCTGCTGGAACAGACCGTACCAAATATAAAACATGCTAAATTATATTCGCACACCCTGCATCACTGTCTGGTGGAATGCAAAAAAAAATAAAAAAATAATGAATTTAGAGAGATAACTTTAACAAAGTATTTGTATTTCAAAATGATTTGTATTATAACAAATAAGTATTTTTGTTGAGTCCTGGCTTTGTTGCTGTGGACTCTTCCCTTTCACAGTATATACTCAAATGCTCTAATCTTTCTAACAAACGTGACTTAACATAAGCTTTCCCCCTTCCATTTCTTTCTTTCTCTTTCCCTTTCTTTCTCTCTTCTCCCTTTTTCTGTTCATTGTCTTCTACGCTCCCTTGCTATCCTCTTCTTATTCCTATTACTTTCTCCTTCGGTGGTTATAATAGGAGCTGCCTCGTATGGGCCAATAGGCCTGCTGCAGTTCTCATTACTACTATCCCCTACACCTGACTTTCCTCCTCAGCTCTCTCTTGCCTATTTAATGCCTGTCCCTACCTGTCCTCATCACAATCGACTTGAGAATGGTCCAGGACGGACCGAAACGTCGTCGTCCCTTCAATTTCTAGTGTGTGGTCTGGTCAACAAGTATTTTTGTTGTTATAATTACTGAATTTTACTACTAATTAGTAATTAAGAATAATTACTAATTAGTAATTAAGAATAATTACTAATTTAAAATGATCTACTGCTAAAATTTTTTAGTAAACTGCCTACTGGATGAATATAAGTGTGGGGTGCATGATGGGTAAATTAATATTCTAAGTAACAGGCTCAAACAAACAAACTCTCACTGTGTGTTAGAGCGTCTGGAGACCAAGGTGAAGCTACGTTGGTCAACTGTGCAGATGCCCTTCATTCATTTATTAACAAATTATGTAACTTAACTCATCAGTGATGTAACTTGCTTAGCTAAATGAATTTGTTGGGGGGTTCAATTCCTGAACCCATTATGCATATTTGTAACCTTTTCTACTACAACTCACACGATGGATACGGGGGGTCCACGATCACTCACAGGATGGGTACGGGGTCCACGATCACTCACAGGATGGGTACGGGGTCCACGATCACTCACAGGATGGGTACGGGGTCCACGATCACTCACAGGATGGGTACAGGTCCACGATCACTCACAGGATGGGTACAAGTCCACGATCACTCACAGGATGGGTACGAAGTCCATGATCACTCACAGGATGGGTACAGGGTCCACGATCACTTACATGATTGGTATGTGGTCCACTCCTACTCACAGGATGGGTATGGGGTCCATAATCACTCACAGGATGGGAATGGGGTTCACTACCACTCACAGGATGAGTATGGGGGTCCACTACCAGTCAGAGGATGGGTATGGGGTCCACTACCAGTCAGAGGATAGGTATGGGGTCCACTACCAGTCAGAGGATAGGTATGGGGTCCACTATCAGTCAGAGGATGGGTATGGGGTCCACTACCAGTCAAATGATGTGTATGGGGTCCACTACTACTCACAGGATGGGTATGGGGTCCACTACCACTCACAGGATGGGTATGGGGTCCACTACCACTTACAGGATGTGTATGGGGTCCACTATCATTCACAGGAAGGTATTAAGGGGTTAACTACCACTCACAGGAAGAGTATTGGGGTGTATATTAAATAATTGAAAACTTACTTTAGATAAATACTAGGAAATTCCTTTACTCTTTAAGCAACATAATTGTTTGAAACTAAAATATTTCCAGAGGGATGTCTGTGTCTTCCCCGGAACTACATTCACGTCTGGAATCCTGGAAACGCATAGCATTAACTCCGGTCCTGAAGGTGCTTCAGCGAGGGATGCCTGATTGCATGACATTAAATCATTGTCTGGAACAGTGATGGGTGTCTGAACCTGAAGCTGGAACTGTGACAACGGTGATCTGTGTGCCTGGAACTGTGACAACGGTGATGTGTGCCTGGAACTGTGACAACGGTGATCTGTGTGCCTGGAACTGTGACAACGGTGATGTGTGCCTGGAACTGTGACAACGGTGATCTGTGTGCCTGGAACTGTGACTGTGAAGGTGTGTACACCTTGATCTGTGGCAACAGTGTATGGGTGTGTGTGAGCCTGTCATATATATATATATATATATATATATATATATATATATATATATATATATATATATATATATATATATATATATATATATATTATTAAATATGACCGAAAAAGTAAGATTAATAATTCTAACACGAATTTTCTCAATCTTTCGTACATTACGCTTCACTGTTGGAGGTAAATCAAAAATCACTTCTCCAAAATTCATTTTTATTTCTAGTCTGACGCGACACGGGCGCGTTTCGTAAAACTTATTACATTTTCAAAGACTTCACAAATACACAACTGATTAGAACTTACGTATCTCTGATTTTATATCTACATTTGAGTGAGGTGGGAGGGGTGATGTGGCATTAACACAAGACAGAACAAGAGGGGATATTAATAGGGTATTAAAAGTATCAACACAAGACAGAACAGAAACAATGGGTATTGAATAGAAGTGTTTGTAGAAAGCCTATTGGTCCATATTTCTTGATGCTTCTATATTGGAGCGGAGTCTTGAGGTGGGTAGAATATAGTTGTGCAATAATTGGCTGTTGATTGCTGGTGTTGACTTCTTGATGTGTAGTGCCTCGCAAACGTCAAGCCGCCTGCTATCGCTGTATCTATCGATGATTTCTGTGTTGTTTACTAGGATTTCTCTGGCGATGGTTTGGTTATGGGAAGAGATTATATGTTCCTTAATGGAGCCCTGTTGCTTATGCATCGTTAAACGCCTAGAAAGAGATGTTGTCTTGCCTATATACTGGTTTTTTTGGAGCTTACAGTCCCCAAGTGGGCATTTGAAGGCATAGACGACGTTAGTCTCTTTTAAAGCGTTCTGTTTTGTGTCTGGAGAGTTTCTCATGAGTAGGCTGGCCGTTTTTCTGGTTTTATAGTAAATCGTCAGTTGTATCCTCTGATTTTTGTCTGTAGGGATAACGTTTCTATTAACAATATCTTTCAGGACCCTTTCCTCCGTTTTATGAGCTGTGGAAAAGAAGTTCCTGTAAAATAGTCTAATAGGGGGTATAGGTGTTGTGTTAGTTGTCTCTTCAGAGGTTGCATGGCTTTTCACTTTCCTTCTTATGATGTCTTCGATGAAACCATTGGAGAAGCCGTTATTGACTAGGACCTGCCTTACCCTACAGAGTTCTTCGTCGACTTGCTTCCATTCTGAGCTGTGGCTGAGAGCACGGTCGACGTATGCGTTAACAACACTCCTCTTGTACCTGTCAGGGCAGTCGCTGTTATTGCACAACTATATTCTACCCACCTCAAGACTCC